CGAACGCCCTAAAGCCGGAAGTAAGCAGCAAAGTACAGGTGTGTCGCTTTGCATACAGCAGCCGCCCATCCGCAGTACATTGAGGGTGGTTGGGCAGGACGTGGTTAATGTAAGCTAAACTGAATGAATTACAAAATAAACTGTATGAAGGTATATGCTGGTACTACTTTCTATATCTGTGTAAAATGCAAACTAACATTTACATGTGTATACCTGTGTACAGCGTATTTTGTCATTCATTCTTATGGGCCGAATTACACAGCAGAGGCTCCTGGGAACTGAAAAAACAGGCGTGCTTTACACTGTAGGGCCACACACCTGCAAATAGGTCCGTGTGCATGGGCCCTAAAAAAAAAAATCCTTCCAAGTGATGAACAGTACCCTTCTGCTGGTGTCAACAAGATAGGAAGTGAGGGATAAAGGCATGTAGGGCAGCACAATGGCTAAAAGGTTAGCACTTCAACCTGGCAGTACTATAGTCGTTGGTTTGAAACCCAACCACGGAGCCACCTCCCTGGAGTTTGCATGTTCTCCCTGTGCCTGTGTAGGTTTCCTCCGAGTACTCCGGTTTCCTCCAACACTCCAAAGACATGCTGGTAGGTTAATTGGATCCTGACCAAATTGGCCCTAATATGTGTATGTATGAATGTGAGACCTTAGATTGTACACCCCTTGAGAGTTAGGGACTCATGCGAATATACAATATATACTGTATGGAAAGCGTTGCGTAAATTGATGACGCTATATAAGTACCTGTAATAAATAAATATACATGCACATGGTCAAAATGATTAAAATAAACCAAAAGTCAGATTTTCCCACAAATGTATTGCCTCTGTTTACCATGTGAGGTCTAAGATGAACTCAAGGCAAAAAAAAAAAAGTTCCTTTTAAAATATTACTCATTCAATAGCAACAAATGCTTTGCTGTGGAATGTTTATTTTAATGTGCTTCATGCCTTTCACAAAAAAATGCTGAGGGTTCAATACTGCTTTAATGTTGTAATTACCATGCTGCCTGTCTCTGTCTTGCTAAAAAGAAAATGTAAACAAACTGCTAACACTGAACTGTATGAAGATACACATTTATTTTTTTTTATGTAAACATTGTTATAGTGCCCGACACCAAGTACCAAACTATCTCAAATGAACTATTTACTTGACGAACAGATGCAGGAGCATGATCACTACATAAACTGTATATAACTTCAGCTGCCTACAATATACAGACCTGTGTTCTAGCAGCGGGATGGGAAGTTCCTATCCTGCTCCCGAAACAAAATCAAGTCAAGCTGAGCGCTGCTCAGGGACCTTTGTATTCTATGAATGAATACAACGTTTCCTCTGACAGGCTCAGGTGGAGATCATGTCATTTGCCCAGCTCAGTAAATTGGAGGATGTTTTGTAATCATTTATAGAATACAAATCTCTCTAAATTTTGTTTCAGGAGTAGGACAGAAAGTTCCCATTCCTCTGCATGCGGTACGTAGCTCATGCTACAGATGGTTTATACAGTACAGACGCTGCATCTGTTAGTGAAGTGAATAGTTTGTTTGGACTAGCTTGGTCCAAATGAACTATTAACCACTTGCCCTCCAGAGGATTTATCCCCCTTCCTGACCAGGCCATTTTTTGTGATACAGCGCTGCGCTACTTTAACTGACAATTGTGCAGTTATGCAACGCTGCACATAAATTAAATTTAAGTATTTTTTTCCCCACAAATAGAGCTTTCTTTCGGTGGTATTTGATCACCTCTTTTTTTTTTGCGCTATAAACAAAAAAACAGACTGATAATTTTGAAAAAAACTAATATTTTTTTACTTTTTCCTCTAAAACATCTAATTAAACAAAAAAAAAAAAACAAACAAATTTTTTCATAAATTTAGGCCAAAATGTATTCTGCGACATGTCTTTGCTAAAAAAAAAAAATCCCAATAAGTGTATATTAACCGGTTTACCTGAATGTTATAGCGTTTACAAATGGCGGTATATATACTGGAATTTTTATTTTTTTATACTGGTAATGGCGGCGATCAGCAACTTATAGCAGGACTGCAGCGGGCATTCTGACACTGGGGGGGAACTAACTGCCACTGATATCCCCAGTGACACTAATACAGTGATCAGTGTTAATAAAAAAAAAAAAACTGACCCTGTACTAATGGCACTGGGCACGGAGGGGTTAACATCTGGGGCAATCAAAGGATTAACTGTGTGCGTTTTTTTTACATTGTGTGCAGTTTTACTTGGGGGGCATGCTGCTCAGTATCTCTACGCTGTGTGTATCCCGGCCAATGCCGAAATGCAAATTTACACACACACACACACACACACACACACACACACACACACACACACACACACACACACACACACACACACTTTTTTTGTTTTGAGCAGCCCTGTGGCTGTTCTTCTGCTGTAGGTGTTATAGGGCGGAGGGCAAGTGGTTAAACTTCACTGAAACCTGGAGTTCTGTTCCAAGGCAGTGACTAAATAGTCAAGAAAACAAAGTGGTGCAGCACTGGAGTAACAAATAACGTACAAATGTATATATACAGTGGGGCAAAAAAGTATTTAGTCAGCCACCAATTGTGCAAGTTCTCCCACTTAAAAAGATGAGAGAGGCCTGTAATTGGCATCATAGGTAGACCTCAACTATGAGAGACAAAATGAGAAACAAAATCCAGACAATCACATTAGCTGATTTGGAAAGAATTTATTTGCAAATTATGGTGGAAAATAAGTATTTGGTCAATATCAAAAGTCCATCTCAATACTTTGTTATATATCCTTTGTTGGCAATGACAGAGGTCAAACGTTTCCTGTAAGTCTTCACAAGGTTGGCACACACTGTTGCTGGTATGTTGGCCCATTCCTCCATGCAGATCTCTTCTAGAGCAGTGATGTTTTGGGGCTGTCGCTGGGCAACACGGACTTTCAACTCCCTCCAAAGGTTTTCTATGGGGTTGAGATCTGGAGACTGGCTAGGCCCCTCCAGGACCTTGAAATGCTTCTTACGAAGCCACTCCTTCGTTACCCGGGCGGTATGTTTGGGATCATTGTCACGTTGAAGGACCCAGCCACGTTTCATCTTCAATGCCCTTGCTGATGGAAGGAGGTTTGCACTCAAAATCTCACGATACATGGCCCCATTCATTCTGTCCTGTACATGGATCAGTCGTCCTGGTCCCTTTGCAGAGAAACAGCCCCAAAGCATGATGTTGCCACCCCCATGCTTCACAGTAGGTATGGTGTTCTTTGGATGCAACTCAGCATTCTCTCTCCTCCAAACACGACAAGTTGTGTTTCTACCAAACAGTTCTATTTTGGTTTCATCTGACCATATGACATTCTCCCAATCCTCTTCTGGATCATCCAAATGCTCTCTAGCAAACTTCAGACGGGCCCGGACATGTACTGGCTTAAGCAGGGGGGCACGTCTGGCACTGCAGGATCTGAGTCCCTGGCGGCGTAGTGTGTTACTGATGGTAGCCTTTGTTACGTTGGTCCCAGCTCTATTCAGGTCATTCACTAGGTCCCCCCGTGTGGTCCTGGGATTTTTGCTCACCATTCTTGTGATAATTTTGACCCCCACGGGGTGAGATCTTGTGTGGAGCCCCAGATCGAGGGAGATTATCAGTGGTCTTGTATGTCTTCCATTTTCTAATTATTGTTCCCACAGTTGATTTGTTCACACCAAGCTGCTTGCCTATTGCAGATTCAGTCTTCCTAGCCTGGTGCAGGTCTACAATTTTGTTTCTGGTGTCCTTCGACAGCTCTTTGGTCTTCACCATAGTGGAGTTTGGAGTGTGACTGTTTGAGGTTGTGGACAGGTGTCTTTTATACTGATAACAAGTTCAAACAGGTGCCATTGATACAGGTAATGAGTGCAGGACAGAGGAGCCTCTTAAAGAAGAAGGTACAGGTCTGTGAGACCCAGAAATCTTGCTTGTTTGTAGGTGACCAAATACTTATTTTCCACCATAATTTGCAAATAAATTCTTTCCAAATCAGCCAATGTGATTGTCTGGATTTTTTTTCTCATTTAGTCTCTCATAGTTGAGGTCTACCTATGATGCCAATTACAGGCCGCTCTCATCTTTTTAAGTGGGAAAACTTGCACAATTGGTGGCTGACTAAATACTTTTTTGCCCCACTGTACATATAAATTGCACTAAACCCAAATGTGGATGTAAAGTGACAAAAGTGCAAAATATAAAGCTAAAAGGTGATATTGGTGAGCACTGACAATGTGCTGAGTGTTAATAAATATACATAGTCCTGAAAACAGTTCAAATGAAGTGCTTAGAAGTGATGATCCATCTGAGGGGATCTCAGGTAAGTGCTCCTTACAACATCCTGGTGACATGCCGTGAATTTGTTAGGAATACGCACTCACCAAGCACTTCATTTGAACGGTTTTCAGGACTATGTATATTTATTAACACTCAGCACATTGTCAGTGCTCACCATATCACCTTTATATTTTGCACTTTTGTCACTTTACATCCACATTTGGGTTTAGTGCAATTTATATGTATATATACATTTGTACTTTGTTATTTGTTACTCCAGCGCCGCATCACTTTATTTTCTTGATTATTCTGGAGGTTTTTGGTTTGCCTTTTTGGTGCTTTGGCCGCTTGTGATTGTTTTAGCGCTCACTTATTTTATTCCCATGTTATAGTGACTAAATAGTGAAACACACATGGGGATAACACCCAAGGTCTGCAGAGGCAGTTTCAGATTTTCACTTTTGCAGGTTCCCTTAAAGGAAATTATTCTTTCTATAAAATAAGAAAATACAACGACCTTGCATCTTGATTATAGAAAGAACAGCACTGGAAGTTCTAATGACTAACGTCAAGATCTGAGGTTGTACAGAATGAGTCAGAGAAGTTCACATTCCTGAACTGTACTCTGCTTTCTGGCTATGCTGTCCCTCTGCAGCCGCAATTAACAGATTACTTTATTGGACAAGATGAGTGTTCTTACCAGGCCAAGTTTTTCTGAAGCATTGGCTTTCCATATGCGGATGTTCATTTCATCTGAACCGCACAGAACGTATTTGTTGTCCGCTGACCATCTGACACAGGTTACATGCTGCATTCTCTTTGTGTGATACACTTCCCTGAAACCAATAAGACAGCCCAGAGTCAAGGTACTTCCTGTAAACACATTTCATGACCCTAGCCTCACCACAATGTTATTGGTAACAGAAAAGCACTATAGGTTCCCTATACTGTCCCATTTGTTCACATTAACCTCTTTAAATTCGGACACTTTCACCCCCTTCCAGTCCAGGCCAATTTTCAGCTTTCAGTGCCGTCACACTTTGAATGACAATTGCGCGGTCATGCAACACTGTACCCAAATTAAATTTTTTGCATATTTCTCTGAGACGGATAAAACTTTATTTTGGTGGTATTTATTCACCACTGGGATTTTTATTTTTTTGCTATATAAATGAAAAAACAAAACAAAAAAAAAAATGTTTTTCTTATAAAATTTTGCAAATAAATAATCTTTATTCATAAATCTTGGCCAAAATGTATTCTGCTACCTTTTTGGTGAGAAAAAAAAAATCAGTTTATAGAAAAATTATAATTTTTCAAAATGTATTTTTACATTTTTATTTTATTTATATTATTATTTATGTATTTTTTTTCACATACTGTCACCCTAGCAGTACAGTGTCACCATAGTGACACTGTACTACTTGTGGAGGTGATCAAGATTTTTTTTTTTTTTTTTTTTTAACACGCTGATTGCTTTTACACCCATAATTTCTCCTTCTCTCTGGCTGCATTCCTGCAGCCATTGAGAAATACTGTGAGAGCTGTAATTGGTCACAGCTTATCACATGGTACAAGGCTGTTGTGAATGGCCTTGTTCCATGTGATAATTCACAGAATTCACAAGTAGTAAACAATGTCAGGAAGTGACATCTTTTTTATTACTGTTCATGTGACTACTGATTGGCCAATCAGTGATCACATCAATCGAGACCTCACAGCGGCTCCCTACAGCAATTTGTGTTCAGATCGTGGCGCTGTGATTCCAGGGAGCGCACACAGGCAATGGATGTGGGGTGATGTTTAGAAGTGCCCCCCTGGATCGGAAAATGCTCCCATCCGGCCATTTATCAGCATGGGCCGGACGGGAAGAGGTTAAAGAGGAATTCTAGGTATGGCATTGTTTTACATAGTTACATTGATTCAGATTGGTCCAATGTAACTATGCATATAACCACTGTAGTATACACCGCTACTCCAGTGTCATCCACTTGCTTCCGAGTCCTGTGCCTGGCAGCTGCCTTGCTGCCTGTATATACCCCTTCATTACCAGGCAATTTTCAGCGCAGTGATAGCTAGGCTGATGATTATCTGATCTTGTAACACTGTACCGTCTTTTTTTTTTTTTTCTTAGAGACAGATAACGCATTCTTTTGGTAGTATTTAATAACCACTGGATTTTATTATTATTATATAATGGAAAAAAACTAAATTAAGGGTTTGCTTACATTTACCTTTCATTTCTTTACCTGTAAAAATATGATCCCAAAACACTGATGGTTAGTGGCACTTTAAACCCCCCCCCCCCAAAAAAAAACAATCCCACAATGAATGGAGGTCACCAGGACAGCATTAAGCGGCACATACAATGGGAGAGGTAGGCATTTATTCTCTTTTGCAGGTAGATCTTTAAAGCCATTTTACAGGTAGATCTTTTCAGAGTTGCTTTAAAGCTAACCTGTCACAAGACAAGCTTGTGACATTACTGTGCTCTTTTTCTGAAAACCGCTAGTCATGGTGACCTTGTGGGCTTTGAATTGGAGTCAAAGACCCAGAGAAAGTTTGCAGCCATTGATGTCCAACTTTCTCTGACCCTCTGCATACTTGTCACAGGTCAGGACCTAGAAAGCATTATTGTCAGAGGGTTAACAAAACAGTCAAGCAACTAGCATATTCAGAAGGGGTCAGCAATGGAATCTCCTAATTTCTTGCATGACTCGTTGTTTACTTGAAAGGAAAACCTGTACTGTGAAAATAAGGAGGATGCTATGGCTGATCCTTCCTTCTTTCTATGCTAGTTACCTGGCTACCATTTTGAACCAAAAGATTTAAGGGTGCCTAGGAACAGTTACTGTGCCCGGGAAGACATGGAAGTGGTGGTCCCCAGCACAGTTCATTTGTGGTCCGGTACAGTCTGCTTCAGTGTGAGTGCAAACCATGCCTGAGCACAGAACTCTCCATAGATCCATGGCTAAATGGTTAACACTTCTGCCTGGCATTACTCGGGTCGTTGGTTCGACCATGGCACTACCTGCCTGGAGTTTGCATGTTCTCCCTGTGCCTGCGTGGGTTTCCTCCGGGTACTCCGGTTTCCTCCCACACTCCAAAGACATGCCGGTAGGTGAATTGGCACCTGTCCAAATTGTCCCTAGTATGTGTATGTATGAATGTAAGTTAGGGACCTTAGATTGTACGCCCCTTGAGGGTTACGGACTGATGTGAATGTACAATATACGTATGTAAAGCGCTGCTTAAATTGACAGCGCTATACAAGTACCTGAAATAAATAAAAAAAAATAAATAGATCACGAGCACAGAAGCAGGGATCACCATTGTCCGGTAGGCAGAGGTGTTGATGTAAATGTGCCCACATATACTAGCACAGTGCAAGTGCAAACCAATAGGGGAGTGGGGAGAAGGAACCATCAAACTCAGGCACGGTTCAGTTCAACCATGCCCAGTGTGAGCGCACCCTCAAACATTCCAAGTTACTGATCTTGAACAAGGATGGCAATCAAATCAGTTACTTGGTCTTTGACTTTCAATATGCATACTGGTTTTGAGTCAGTGACCAAAGAAATACTGAAGCCAGATGCACCCAGGCCACCAGTACCTTTAGGTGGTCAGCAAAGACAGCCCCCACATTTCTCTTACTACAGGTTTTCTTAAAAAAATAAAACCCACTGACAAGGAGGCCTGTTCTCACCCTGTGCTGCATGCTGCAGTTTGGAGGGTAGGGACTTGCAGCTCCCCATTCAAATCTAATTTTATGGCAAATTCATGTTTAATCACACATAACACAGTATGCGTTTTCCCATCACGTACTGGTATGAACAAGCCCTTGGTACATATTAGCTGCCTTTATGAACATTCTACAGTAAGGCTGATAATATTCTCACCTGCTGTGGCCGCTTTCAACTGAAAAGATGCGAATGGATTTATCAAAGCTGGCAGATACGAATTCCTTTCCAGTAGGGGAATAATCAACATCCAGGACAGCAGACACATGGTCCATGTGCACCGTTACTGGACGGTTCATGTAGCGCATGTCATAGGTGTACAGTCTGTATAGACACATTAGGATGAATATATGCAAATAAGATGATCAATTTTATATAAAACAATTAGAAAAATTATTAAGGTCTTCAAAAGAGACTTAGGCATATACAACTGGACAAAAGATAAAGAAAAGGGTTCGGTCTATGCTGTACAGCCAGCTAGCATGGAAAACAATATCTCTTTCAGGTTCTTAGGGCACAGCAAGGTTTAACCATTTCAATACCGGGCAATTTTACACCTTCCTGCCCAGGCAGTTTTCAGGTTTCAGCGCTCACACACTTTGAATGACAATTGCGCGGTCATACAACATTGTACCCAAACTAAAATTTTATAATTTTCTTCACACAAACTAGAGCTTTCTTTTGGTGGTATTTAATCACCGCTGGGGTTTTTATTTTTTTGCTAAATTAACAAAAAAAAGACCAAAAATTTTGAAAAAAAAACACGTTTTTCTTTGTTTCTGTTATAAAAGTTTACAAATAATTAATTGTTCTTCATAAATTAGGCCAAGATGTATTCTGCTACGTCTTTGGTGAAAATAACCCAAATTAGGATGTATTATTTAGTTTGTAGGAAAGTTATAGAGTTCACAAACTATGGTATAGATCTGAAAATTGATCAATCCTGAAGTACTGACAGCCAATCTAATTTCTTGAGGTCCAAGAATGTCAGAATAGTAGATATCCCCCAAATGACCCCTTTTTGCAGAGTAGACAGTCCGACGTACTTCATAAGAGGAATGGCGAGTTTTTTGAAGTTGTATTTTTTTTGTCATAATTTTTCGGAAAATGAAAAAATTAAAAAAAATTGTTTTCACTATTTTTTTTTTTTTTACATACTGTCACCAGTGCAGTACAGTGTCATCATATAACTGGCATGGCGGTGAACAGGGACACTGACTGGTGACAGTATGAAAAAAAAAATATATATATATTTTTTTTTATTTATTTTTAATTTTTTATTAAATTTTTCTTTTATTTTTTTAAGATTTTGTTTTCATATTTTACTATGACCAAAGTAGTACAATGTTACCATAGTAACATTGTACTACTTTGGGGAAGTGATCAGTATTTTTTTTTTTTTTTTTTACACAATTTGCTTTTAGCAAAGAATTACTTTGCTATAAGCAAGCATTTATCTGAATGACATCGATTCATTCAGGGTTTTTTTTTTTTTTTTTTGTGTGCTTAGCTGTGATTTGGCCACAGCTAATCACATGACATGTGCATGTGACCTGCTGTGACCATTCACAGCTAGGCACTTGTATACAATGGATGACATGAATGAAGCCATCCATTGTATACAACTGTCATGTGACCTGCTGTGATTGGTCACAGCAGGTCACATGGTACTGGCAACGGGAGCCGGTACTCAGATCTGTCATCGGCCGTGTCCGAGGTACACGGCCGGTGACAGATCGCGCCGCTGCGAGGCTCTGCAACTGCGCATGTGCGGGAGCACGCCAAATGGCATGCACCCGGAAAGCTACAGCGCTTTTGATGCCGCCAAACGGCTATAGGCCGGGCGGCTAATGGTTAACAAAGCATTTACAATGCTATAACAAAGCTTCAAGCAGCTTTGTAGAAAACTTAAAAGCAACCTACAGCTTCTATTTAGAAATGTTAAATACAGATCTCAATGGGAAAATGGGATGGCATTTTAAAATTTCAGTGTACTGGACACTTAATGAAACTCTTTCAAAAACGTAAATTGCAAGCAAAAGCACAGAAAAAGTGGTGGTTGTAAAGATCCAAAATATTTTTTTAACCTTCATGCATTCTATACATGAAGGTAAAAAACCTTCTGTGTGCAGCACAGCCCCCAACGCCCTCAATACTTACTCGATCCCCATCGTGATCCAGTAATGTGCATGACAGCCTTGGCTGTCCTGGGGCTCTGCCATTGGCTCCCACTGTCAATCACAGCCAGTGAGGAGAGAGGGGGTGGGGCTAAGCCATGGCTTTGTTTGTGAATGGACACATGGAGCAGTGGCTCATGAACACACACCTGCTTGGGTGCCCTCATACCAAGCTGCTTGCTATGGGGGCACCTGACAAAGGAGGAGCCAGGAGCACCGGCAGGGAATCTGAGAAGAGGAGGATCCTGGCTGCTCTGTGCAAAACCATTACACAGAGCAGGTAAGTAAAACGTTTGTCATTTCACAAGACAAAAAAAATGAACCTTTAGTATTGCTTTAAGTCTATTAAATGTTTATTTGCAGCACTTTTCTTTTCCAAAAATGATTATTCTATTCATTTGCAATATACACCTTTGAACTTTCTAGACAAATTGGACTAGTTCATTTCAAAGCACAGCTCCCTCCCTTCTTGCATGTCATAAATCTCCAATCTTCTGGGGGTGTCTAATTTATGTCCATGCTGACACAGTTCCTCTGCCCCTACTTAAATAATCTTTTATATAGCAGCCGGGGGAAGGGCAAAGGGGAATACTATAGAGGGTCAGTAAGTGAGGGCTGTCAATTTATACAAGCTGCAAACAGGCTTCAAATAAAGAGACCCTGTCTTCTGACCATGCATTTTAAAGACTATCTTCCTATAAATTAAATGTGCATTTAACATATTTTAATTATCTTATTTAAGCATGTTATTTATCTGTAAAAGCCTCCATCATGTAGAGTTTCCAAGGCCCTGAGACTGATCCGGGACTGCTGACATCACATCCATGGTGGTGCCCAGCAGCAGTCTTAAAGAGTTTTTGGAACTCATATAAATTTTATGGGAAGATTGTCCCAGTCAGCTTTTTTTTTTTTTTTTTTTTTTACCAACTGTATCCCATTGGGGAAATTCACCTTCACTTGCTGTCCAACAGAAAAAACAGGAAGTGAGAGGAAATCCCTGCAAATTAAGGGAATCTCTTGGGGCCCCACCAGGTCACCAGAACTAGTATCCCCATTGTTGGCTGTATGAATGACATAGGTAACCCAAAATAATCTCAAATTCCTCAAACTTCCACAGATTTGCTCTACATGTTTCGTGATTGGAGTCACTTCTTCAGGAGATTGTAGTGTATCTATGTGAGAAAGGGTACATATAGAATATACATATATAATAATACAATCCTTTTAACAAAATTACTACAAGCAATAGAGGAAAGTAAGTAAGTGCGTGTGTGTATGTGTGTGTGTTGTATATGTAGAGCAATCTGTGAAAGGTGGAACCCCCCACAGTTGGAGGTCTTTTTGAGATTGTTTTGGGTTACCTATATCATTCATATAATGCTTGGGTGCCTCTATTAACCTGGGAGAACTTGCTGTATTCCACTAATTGAGTGCTTAACCTTTTAAATAATTTGTGATAATGATTTTGTTAATAAATATTACCTTTTTACTATAACAAATGGTGTAGCCTACGTGCCTATAAAGTCCATAATTTATATTCCAAATATTCCTTGTTCTAGTGTCCCCATTGGAAGATTTCCCCTCTGTTACTTTTTTGGGGACAACCCAAAATTTGGGATTTTCTTTCACTTTTACCCATAATGGTAAACAGGACAAATAGAGTGAATCTAATGGGAGCAGAAGTAGCATTAAAGACCTGACAGTTGTTATAATCCTTCTCCACTCCATCCAAACAAAAGGTTTTGCCTTTAGTTACACTTTACTTAAAGTGACATCCAGTATTTCCATCTAAATATGTTTTTTACACCCTCAAAATGAACCTGAAGGTTGCCTTGAAAGCTACAACAGAATGGGCTGAAGCCTGCTGAAGGCTTTGGGCAAATGCTCTTTAAAAGCTGGCTGTACATATTGCTCCATTACAAGCTGAAGTCCCCGTGAGCCATATATAACAGATCACTCCTGTGACAAAGTCTTCTACTTACTTGTAGTTCTCATTAGCAGCTGTAAAAATAAAAGCTTCCATGGGGTTCCAGCAGATCGCATTTGTTCTCATTTCTAGAATAATCTGTGAGAAGAGAAAACTGTGTTAGTTTCAACTTACAATTAAAAAGAGAAAAAAAGTCTTCATCCCAAAGTCATCATTAAGGTCTTAATCTCTGTCACCAATGCTCAATCCTTTCTTCAGCCTGAGGTCCCACACTAGAAGTGTTGGGGAAGAGATCACCCATCTGCTACTCTATTTCACAAGCCGAAACAGCCTTGCCCACGTTGACCAAAAATTGGGATCCTACCCAGCATTAGCCTTACATGTACTCATGCCCTGCTCAGTAGAGCAGATAATAGGGATTTGAGCAAATCTACAACAGTGATCTCTTACCGGACAGAAGCAGAATTCAGTCCATCAAATACTCACTACAGCAGATATCACATGATCAGGTGCTTAAAGTATTTGATAAGAACAGCAACCATGGAATCTTGGAAAACACAGAATTATCTCACTCCGAGGCTGTTCTGCAAGATAAGCCTTGAGGCCAATGACTAAACTTCACTAAGGCCGGGCTTGTAGGTGTGTGGAGTGCTAACGCACATTACATTGCATGTTAGAGGAGCACAATCAATTTGACCGGGCTGTCAATATACTACAATGCACCGGAAATTGCACCAGATTGGTTTTTGGAAAGGCATAGTAGTACGTTATGGCACACTGCAATCCAGGTGCATTGCTTAAATGCACTGCCATTCAAAACAACCGGTATTAAAAACACTAATACATGCATGCATGGTATGACATCTTGTGTTGCAGTACAGTGTTAATCAAGCCCAATAATTATTTACATGAGGGACACTGATGTGCTAACAAACAGCCCAACTCGGTAAAACCTGTTGGTTGCCAAAAATTCTTTAATTTTATTATTCAGAAAACATTCAGCCAAAGCATTATTAAAAAAAAAAACTAATTTGTGTATATGTAAGCCCCCCCCCCCCCCCCAACCTTTCACATTTGCCCTATTAATACATACAGGGTACTGTAAATGACTCTCACATGCATATGAGCTCCAAAGCCTCCATGGCTTGGGCTCACTAACATGTGTGTTTCTGGCAGATGTTTTAACACACAACGAGATGCCTTTTGATGCAGCTCCATTGATTTAAATGGGAACAGATATTATTCAATAATAACTAATTCGGGTAATAAAAACTCAGTTCTGGGAAGAAAACCCTGACAGATTGGGCACCAGGTATCTTTATCAATTTGTATTGTGAGCATTAAGCATTTATTCTGCTGGCAGTGTGCACCCCACTGCAGCTAACCAGAAGCTGCATTTATGTACTTTATTAACTACGTGGACACAGTGTGGTTGGTATTAGGCACACTGTATTATGGCTACTAAATTAAACCTGTACTGAGAATGTATCTAGCCAGCCACTGCTGGACTCTCCATCTAAAATTTCTAGTTTTTTTGGCTGTTATTCTGATCCAGATGTGCATGTTCTTTGAATTACTGAACCAGAACATTCAAGCTGATCAGATCAGCGGTCCGGACTGATTTCTAACTTAAGTTACTGCATGAGGGTTCCTGGTCAGTGACCCAGAAAGTACTGAAGCCAGGGACGGTCAGGCATCTAGCATGTTCAGATGGAATGACCACCTCAGTATTTCCCCAGGTACATGGTTAATTGCACAAATAATTTTGAGACTGTATACGGTAGTCATTTATGATCGTACTGAAATGAAGAAATGGATTGACCTGAATCCACTATGTGCTGATATTCCATGGAGCACCTAATCCAGTCATCAATCTTGTCTGCATTGCATTAAGGAAATATGTACAAAGAAGGAACATTACTTGCCTTTTTCAGTGGTGTAGGCTTCCGCGTGTCATAAAGGACAATACTTCTGTCAAACTGCGCAGCTTCCTAAAATGTGTGTCTGCAAACAATAAAGACTACCATTTTATTCATCACAGCAAATCAATTTTAAGTATTCTCAATACAATCACAATGCGATACATCTAAAAATAAAATGTACACTATGGAAAAGAGCATTCCGTAATGCATCAACAAAAGGTTTAAGCAAAGTAAAAGAAGTTTGAAATGTAATCAATTCCTGTGGCACAATATCTGAACAAAGCCAAAACGTTTAAACTGGAACCAGAGATTAACAGCTCCATACAAACTGAACACCAATTTTGGGTTGAATTTGGCAGGTTTTCCTCATCAGGTCATCTGCTGTGTGGGACACTAGTGTGAGGTTCTACCTCTGGCCTGACAACAAAATCTTGGTTTTTACCCAAAAGACCTGTATCAGTGATCTGCCTTACTGTGGCTTGGGGAATCCCTGCTAATTACCATATCTACAGATCACTGCGACAGTCCCTGGGAAGAATGCTCCTTACACTTGTGGTCTTTCAGAAGAATCCACCGAGGCCTCTTTCAAAGGCCAGCGAGACATAAAAAACAGGCAGTTTTTATACTGTGTGTCTACTCTACCCCCTCCCATGTCTACGATGCTTTGAGGCAAAATTATACAGCATATTGCATTTCACTGAACTCTGGTTGAGAAAGACTGCTCTAGTGGGTAGTAGAATCTATGGAGCCATACTAGGCTGGAGATCTCAAAGGCTCACAATTCTTCTTCAAATGCACCTTTGCTAAATTTTTTATTTTGACTGTAAATGTTCTTTTTCCAATACGCCTGTAATGCATGGCTACATACGCTAACATAGAAGTGAGTTTATAGGTTTGAAAAAAAGAAAAAAAAAAGCTGAACGCCTGTACAGGCAGCATTTACGCCGTGTGCATGAGCCCTTTGGATTGTATATTTTATATGCCCAACATTCTCAAGATGCCCCTGCTGAAAAAAGAGGACATTACCAAGCTCTGATGTCCTCTGTAAAAAGTGTGTTTGTTTCTTTCACATCGATGCCTGCAACAGAATGAGTGAGCAGCAAAGAAGAGCTACAGCTCTTAGGTCTCCATTCACGGGAGTACATACATTTGTAGATTATTTCCAACTACAGATCAATAAATGTAATAATTTTAAATGGTAAAATGTATGCTGTGCGTTGACCTGCATTCAGTTTAGCGGTGTTTAGAAAAATATAGAAAACTGCGCACACAGGAGCAGATTCAATACTCTGAATAAGTCTACAAACGTGTATTTAAATTATTATTATTATTATTATACAGTATTTATAAAGCGCCAATAGTTCGCTCAGCGCTGTACATTGTAAAGGGAGACAGAACATGCGACAGAACAATACCAATACAATGCAAAACATGAGGGGATTGAGGGCCCTGCTCTTTCGAGCTTACAATCTAGGAGGGAGGGGATGGTGGCACAGGAGGAGATAGCTATGGGGGATGGAGTGGTAGGAAGAGTGGAGGAGGTCGGCAAGTTGGCAGGGGGTGGGGTAGGCTTCCCTGAAGAGATGGGTTTTCAGGGTGCGCCTAAAGGAGAGGAGAGTAGGTGATAATCTGATGGGTTGGGGCAGGGAGTTCCAGAGGATGGGTGACACCCTGGAGAAGTCCTGGAGGCAGGCATGGGAGGAGGAGACCAGGGAACTAGAGAGAAGGAGGTCTTGTGAGGAGCGGAGTGTGCATGCTGGGCGGTACTTGGATATTAGGTCAGTGATGTAAATGCTATAGAATGTGATTTGGGAAAATTTTATATATAATATAAATAAAATTTTATTATATTACACATACACCTAGATTTCTCCAGCATTTTCATAAAGTGTGACTAAGGGCCAACATCTCTGAACCCAGTATACATACTCTCTGACTTGTATACAATGTTAACTATATACAGTGTGAAACCGATTCATCCTAAATAATATTCAACCATGTACTAAGTGAAAATACATTTTCAAAGGTGTTTAGTCCCTGGTCGCCAAGTAATCTCTTCCTCCCTAGGAAGTTAAAACATACAGTTCTTTCTCAGCGTCCAAACAAGTCCTCAATTCACACCCGTGAGTGATCTTTCTTTCCTTCCTAGCTTGCTGAATGTTCAATCTTCAAGAACTCCAAAAAGGTATCCTTCACTTCTTCGGTGTATGACCCAAAACAAAATGGGCAAATATAGTGCAGTAAAATCAACTCTTGCAGATTTATTCAATTAAAAGCGCTTACAAGCATGGGATGTACATCAGCGTTTGATATATCGCCTCTATGGAACGGACGTCATCAAAGATGGCCACCACACAACTTCCGGTTGGCAGCTGACGATACCTCCTGACGTGTTTCGTCATTGCGACTTTATCAAAGTATACTGACATTGTGGTGGGAGTAATAAGAAAGATGTTGGTCGGGAAGAAATAAATTTGTCCAAGGTTTATAAAGTCTGGTAAGATGCATGGATTGAGAGGTGGGGGGGGGGATCACTTGATTGTGTTTTATACCAGTGGTGACTTGTTAGGGAGATAAGGAGCTCAGTGCGGCACTATATAATTATTGGTTAACAGTATTGCACTATATACAATAATTTTTTGGAGGGCACGACTATTGTTGAAGAGGAATGTAAGAAGAAGAGTGCACGGATTGAAAAGCTTTGTAAACAAGGCATACAAGACATACTCAGAGGGTAAGGGTATGAATTGCAGATATCACAGGTTGACACTTGGTGGTGTTTGTGACATGGTTTTGAGTACTTTATTTATTAGGGTTGATTTTACACAAAAGGGTATTACACTATGTGTGGATTATGCTAATTTTTTTGAGGAAGAAGAGGAGGATACTTTTTGGAGTTCTTGAAGATTGAGCATTCAATGAGCTAGGAAGGAAAGAAAGAAAGATCACTCACAGGTGTGAATTGAGGACTTGTATTGTTTGGACGCTGAGAAAGAACTGGTTGTAAACAATGTTGTCCACACAAACATATTACCTCAATGGGGTTATAACGAACGCTTGTAATGCTGTCCACTCCCCAGGAGTATGATCTCATAGGACTCGTCCTCTGTTCATCCCAGATATCCACCTGCTGCCCACATGTGGCAAATACAGCACCTCTCCAATGATGGTCCACCCCTGTGAAGACAGTCTGCAGACAGAGAACACAGAAACACATTATTACCTCCACACTGAAAGCGTTTTTGTACTGAGAGTTTGCCTTAGATGCAGATATTACTTAGCAGTGACACCACTGTGCCGTACAATGTCTGTGAGAGAGGTCCAACAGGTTCCAACCACTACAGGCTGCCTGTAGAAAACTACAGGAGGGGGTGGGGACAAGACCAGTTACCTGCACAAGGAGAGTGAGCAGCAGAGACTGGTCCCTTTACAGGAAGCTCCTGCACAGGAGGAAAGTGCAGAAGTGGTTTCATGCTGGACTACCACACAAATCAGGAATAAATGCAAATATAATGCACCACGTTTTAAGTAAGAATACACAAGGCTGTTGTACGTAGACAGTATTTGTTTAGCCCAGAGATCAGTTTTAAGGAGAATCTCTTCAGATCAAAGAAAAAGAAGCTGAAGCATCACTATGGGAGCCAGTCAACTGCCACACTTCCTACAAAAGAAATAAAATCTTTAAAGTTAAAATCAAGCAAAAAAAAAAAAAAGAAAGAAAAAAAGAAACTTAACCTTGCTTGCACTCCCATTCGAAGTCCTATACTAACTACCCTGTAAAGGAAAGATGTCTATACTTACCTATTCCCTGGTTGGTCCAGTCACACATGATGACTCTCAGCACCAACTTCAGTATAGAGGAGGGATAGCTGACAACAGATGCCCCATAGCAAGCTTATTAATGATGTCACTGCATAGGCATTGCAGCTGTTATCGGAGATCTCTCCTCTTCTCTGAAGCCGGACACTGGGGAGATTATGTGACCAGAGCACCCACGGAATAGGCAAGTATAAGCATCTTTCCTCCACAGGCTAGTTAGAATAAGGCCGTGACAGACCCAATCAGTACAGGGTCTTTTGGAGGAGACTGCAGGCTAGCCTCCTGCCCACCAACTATGGGCCCTGATGTTTCAAGGGGCTCTATTCTTTGGCAGGTGTGTGCCTGAGGAACCTGTTGGAGTAGTTTTACTTTGTATTCAAGTCTCCTCCAAAAGACCCTGTCCTGGTTGGGTCTGTCACAATGGCTTAGAATAGCGGTGGGAGCAAGCTTAAGCTTAGTTTTTGACTCGACTTTAAGAAATCTTTTCATTTATAGCTCCCCATTCTGGTAAAATCCTCAAATCTTCCTTACTGCTGTTTGAAACACTGAGTAAAAGCTTACCTTCCCACTCTCCAGACTGCCTGGTGGAACCAGAATATTGGAAAGCGGCTGAAAACTTCCTTCCTACTAACATTACTTGAGAAAAATATTTGATAACCCTTGGTCTGCATTGTTCAGTATTAACTTGGTTAGATTTTCCCAATCACATGAGCCTGTTATCACTGGAATTAAAGATGTTTTTATCTGTACTACGGACAGCTAGTGGTAAAGTCATATTCCGCCATTTGTAAAAAAAAAAAAAAAAAATAAAAATGAATAAATGCTGTAAAGTAGCCAGAAAAATAGATAAAGTGTGCATTTATTAATTTTTTGTATTTGAGCCTGCAAAACATTACAAGCATAGATCACTGGTTGATGGGTGCAATGCACAGGTTTCTGCAGGCTATTCCCCCAGCAGAGGTACTGCTCTTTAGTTACAGGGGTGGAGGCAGTATTAATGGGCTACAAGTACGGTGATGTCACCGCACGTGTTGTACTGAGATCTAGGAGGCCCTCAACCAGGGTCGCAGATGGGGTTTGTAGTCTTCGATTCACAGATTTGTGTAAATGGATGACACGGTTGTGTGGGCGGAGCCATACACATTTGCGCCCAATTAAAAAGCCAACACAAGCCAGTGGAGAGAAGAACCCGAAGATCTGGATAAATGAGAGGGTTGTTTGACGGTGGAAAGCTGGGGAATTTCACCATATTTCTTGCTACATCATGAATATGGATGTAACAATACCAGAGAGTTGGAATTAGCCTTTAACATTGCAACTTAGAATATTCACCAGATTAAAGTTCCATTGTAAGCCTTCTGCTCATTGATTGGATTATCTTTGATGTCTGTCCAAAGCATCAACCCGACTAACATGTAAAATAAATCTTCACAGACAGAAAATGTATGTTTATAAGGAAGAAAAGCAATACATTTTCCCAGACTGTTCACTGGTTGTAAAGCAGAGCTACTGGATAACAACACTACAAACAACCCCTAAAATGAGTCAAGACACAACATCCCATGAACATAAAGCTATACCACGAAATAAAGATCACTAAACTGGGGGTTTTAGGTTATCACGGGGTCATAAGCAGGGGTGTATTTACCACAAGGCAAACAAGGCATTTGCCTAGGGCGGCATTTTTCAGGGGGACAGCAGCATTTTTCAGGGGGGCAGCGCCGTCCCCCGAAAGGAAGAAGGGACACACGCAGCATGGGGACCAGGTAGGATCTGAGAGAGGCTACGGGCTGCTTGATGGTGTATGCAGAGCCTGAATCTTGTCCCAGGGATGTCCGGAGCTGTGAAGGTAAGTGTCATCCCTTGCCGGGGGTGGGGTGCTAGTGTATGGGGGACGGCGGTAGTGGAAGGCCCTGGAAGGGTGGGTGGGGGGGGGGCTGGGGTGTTGTTGGTCAGTGTCAGGGTCTCTCCATGGGGGGGGGGGGGGGTAATTTTTGTGTTGCCTAGGGCAGCACGAAACCTAAATACACCACTGGTCATAAGCATAAACATGATACAACTTCTAATTGCTTAATTTATGACCCCTAAGTCCCGACTTAGTGATTTGTTTTGTCTTTTTTTACAGGATCCAAAACAGCAATGTTTGTTTTCCCCTTGCGAAAGCAACACAGGGAGGTGCAAGGTCAAAGCAGGAATCGGGAAGTAATGGTGTCACCATATTAGCTATGCTGTATGTCAGGGGTCTGCAAAGAATGGCAGAATAAATCATCTGGAAGGTAAAGCAGGCACATTTATGCACACCATCACTATTAGCCGATTTCCTTTATTTCCCTCAATTAAGGCCATGACTGTATATAGCTTAATGTTGTCGTGTAAAGTGTACGCTGCATGTGATGGAAGGAAATTTAACTAGAAAATAAATGACATATTTGGCACTCTACCTTTCCCAGTATTGTATGTATAGGTTCCTCATTCTCTCCATATCCTGGACTTTCCATCTTCCACTGTTTTACTGTCTTATCATCACCCACCTAAAAAAAAACAAAAAACCAAAAGTAAATGATCCAATTTTCAACAATTAAGCCCAAAAGAGGGTGCAAGGTGTTAGAAGGACATTCTCAAGGCAGGGACGTCAAGCAGGCAGCATTCAATTGAATGTTTTTTGAATAGACAGTGATGTCACTGGAGTGTGGATTTCTGTTGCTTATGTAGATTTTAACTGGGTATAGGTGGGCTTCTTAGTTTGGCACCTAGTTTGTCCACAGCCAAACAAAAGCCACAAGTCCCCTTGGGAATGCAGGGAATGCCTCGACCACTTATGATTAGCAGTGTGCAGTGAAAGCTTTCTGATGAGATAGCATGGGAAGGTTTAGACTAAACACGTCTGAGCTCTGCCTGTTGTTATACTATTACATGGTCACCATATCCAGGACTTCTGGGCATTTCTCGTTACTCCAAGCAGCCGAGCATAACAATTCAGAAACAAAGGAATGTCGAGTGTGTACTGCTGGTGGAGCCACCATTAGTCTTCATGCACACTAGGCGCCTATACATATGCCAGAACCTCTGGCAGAAAAAAAAAGCAGCAGAAAAAAACCCCAGCATAATGGCGTGTACTGCACATGTGTTTATGTGCGGTCGTGTTCATAAGCATTTTTCTTCAAAACATTCCCCTCTGCTCACTTTTCACTAGAATCAATTTACATGTGAAAATGCCGAATACGCCTAAAAGCCGCGTTTATGCGCTTCAATCGTTTTTTTCTGCAGAAAAGTTCCTCTCGAAAACGATTTTTCAGCCTCTAAACACATCTCTTCAAATATGCCTGTAAATGCCCAAATGTGACACATAAGCGAACAGAGTTGCTTCCACAGGCTGGAAAAAAAAAAAGAAAAAAGAAAAAAAGAAAAAAAGAAATCCCACGCCAGGCGGGTTTTTTTTTTTTGCTTTACTGTCCCTATAGCTAGGATCAGTGAATCAGAGGGGACATAAATATCACGGAACTGGCACAATTCAAAGAATCTGTACAATACACAAGATATATCATGCTAAAAGGTACAACTCAGAAACAGGAAAACAGACAGAAATGTTCTTTGCACCACCATGGGAGTGTCCATATGAAGCATCTGCTGAGCTTTGACTTGTACAGCCAACCACACACAGGGAGCAAAAAGAAAGCTATTATAACTTATGTGGTTATAGTAATTACAGATTTAGCCAATTTAAATTTCCTTTAAAGTGTTTGTAAACATCAGACATGAAATATGAACAAAGCGTATCCCAATATAGTGTGTACTTGTCTCAATTAAGAACACTAAGTGCCATTTCTGTCTGCTGCCTCATTTCTCTTCTATCAGCATGAATCACTGCTAGTGAGTTTTGCTGACACCAAGAGAAAAATGGTGACAGAGGAGGTAACCACCAGCATTTTCACAGCTTCAGTTCTGTTCCTGTGTGAAGGGGGGTGTCCCTTCCATCCAATCAGCTCTCAGAGCTTTCCTCATTGATGTTACTTCAGCTCCCCGCCCTCTGCTTTTCAGAGCTGAGAGATCCTGTGTAAATTCTGCACTTTGAATGGATGTAGGGAAAAAAATCTATAGATAAAAAGGTACAACTTATGTAGGATTTGTGTCATCTCTGTGCCGCACCTGATTCCAGTCACTTCACTGTGTATATGTAAAGGTTTACAACCAACTAAAAAAATATCAGTTTATTATCACATGTACTATAAAATGAAGTGTAAAGAAGAAGAAGAAAAAAAAAAGCGCACATATGAAATTCCAACCAGCTGTATAAATGTACTTACTGTAAAAAACGATGTTCCACAAAATCGAACACAGAGCCCTCTGACAAATCCCTCATGTGCCTGTATGGTCCTGGTACACTGCCGAGTGGCCAAATTCCATATCTTCACCTGAACAAAAGCAAGATCAGGGAGGTCAGTTTTATACAAAATGCTATTAAAAAGGGAACCAACTTTTTTATGAATTTAAAAACAATAAATTTAACTTATCAATATTTATTAGGTTTTTCTAATATTATGTAGAGTACACTAGGAGCAGTCATATGTGTTGCATGGTCTCTCTCTCTCCATGCATGTCTATTGGTAATCTTACACAAGAAAACGTCCCACCAAGAACAATGGGCTGTGAGACTCTGCCATTCCATGACTGTCAGTGGCCCAATGACCTTCCAAATTTGACCAAAGGATCTAAGTGCTGCATATACTGCAAACAGCACAATTTGCTTTTCTTTAAGCATTTATCGGATTTTTCACCATGTTAACTCATGACCTACCAATTCTGACTGTACATGAGAGGTACGGTGCTACACAGACCGACTGCTGCAAACTATAGATCACCCTTACCTTGATGAAAGGATGTTTGGGGCCCTGAAATGTCACTTTTTGTCCTTGTGAGAAGAATAAATGTCTTCCATTTGATTTATCATGGGTGTGCTGGTGACTTTTGGATATTGACACTTGATGGATAATGACACCATTGGAATTCCAACACCCGCCATATGTTGGACACAGTCACTGTATTGCGTGTCTGGAATCACGATTTCCCCATTTTGAAAATTTCTTATTATTTCTATCGCAAGGGATGCATGCATTTCTTGTCATAAGGATGAAAGTGATTACATTTTTTTTTAAAAAGGGACATTGCAAAAAAAAAAAAAAAAACCCAAAAAAAACATTAAATTAATAATAAAAAAAGTATAAAGTGCGCTGTCCCCCCATGTGCACGTAATGGTGAACGCATAAGTAGGCCATGCCCACATATGTAAATGGTGTTCAAACCACACACGTTAGGTATCGCCATGAACGTCAGAGCAAGAGCAATAATTCTCACACTAGACCTCCTCTGTAACTGTACACTGCTAACCTGTAGAAATGCTTAAAACATCACCCATGCAGATTTTTAAGTAACGCAGTTTCACGCCATTTCACAAGAGTGCGCAATTTTAAAGTGTGACATGCTGGGTATCAATTTACTCGCCGTAACTTCCTCTTTCATATTTTACAAAAAAATTGGGGTATATTTTGTTTTTTTTTTTAAATCATAGTGTATTTTTTCCCAAAAAATACATTTTCATTTTTAAAAACTGCGCATTTCGATTTCAGTGCAAGTGCATTTTGAATTTCCGTTTTCGGCAGAATTTTCAGTTCGGTGCACCACTATATTAAAGCTTTGTTTTTTTTCAACATGTCATACTTACCTGCCCCAATCCTCTTCATCTCGTGTTCTCTGCAAAGGCTCCTCCCCCTTGCCCAGTGCCCCAAAAAGCAACCTGCTTACCATGGGGGCACTAGTGTATGCTTGCTCCCAAGCCATGCTCTATGCGTTTACAGGACACACAGAGCCACGGCTGCCCACCCCCCCCTTATTTGCTAACTAGCTCTAATTAACAGTAGTGTCACCCAATGGCTACCGCTGCTGCCTCAGCCAATGAGGAGAGAGAGAGGGGACAGCCAAGGCTCTCATGCACATCGCTGGACTGAAAAGGGGCTCAGGTGAGTATTAGGGGGGGTTGGGAGGAAAACAGCACACAGGTGGTTTTTTAACCTTAATGCATAGAATTCATGAAGCTAAAAAAACCTTCAACCTTTACAACCACTTTAACCAACTACACAACAGCCTATTTTTAAAAAAGTGCTTGAATTCCTACAGTACCGCTTTAAAGTGATGTAAAGATAATGTTGTTACTGTGGGTATAGTACTACTTTAAGAGACAAAAAAAAAAATGTTTTGGGTGGAGTTCCACATTCACTATTCGGGGTAATGCCTTGATAACCGGTTGTGGTGAGGCCCCTACCTCTCCGTCGCAGGCTCCCGAGAACACAGTTGACAAGCTCTTGGGATGTTTCGCCATACAGTTAATGCCATCTCTGTGACCATCTAATGAAGCAATGAACGGCTTGGCAAAGACACGCTCAAGTTTGGTGGCGTTGAGGGCTCTGGCGTATTCCCGAGGAACTTCAAATGGGTGCAGAGAAGGATCATAGTTCCGAGGAACTAAGAGGAAAAAAAAAAAGTGTAAAAAAGAAGCTTAAAATATATGTCACAATAACGGAATGTCAGCAATTAGTATCCATATACAGTATACAATCATATACAGTTAGTATCCAATCATACATAGTATACATTATATACAGTATACAATTAGTATCCAATCATATACAGTTAGTATCCAATCATACATAGTATACATCATATAGAGTATACAATTAATATCCAATCATACATAGTGTACATTATATACAGTATACAATCATATACAGTTAGTATCCAATCATACATTGTATACATTATATACAGTATACAATAGTATCCATCATATACAGTTAGTATCCAATACAATATACATCATATAGAGTATACAATCAATATCCAATCATGCACAGTATACATTATACAGTATACAATTAGTATCAATCATGTACAATTAGTATCAATCATATACAGTATACAGTTAGTATCCAATCATACATAGTATACATCATATAGAGAAACAATTAATATCCAATCATACATAGTGTCATTATATACAGTATACATATACAGTTAGTACCATCATACATTGTATACATATATACAGTATACAATTAGTATCCAGTTAGTATCCATATACATAGTATACATCATATAGAGAAAACAATATCCAATCATACATAGTATACATCATATACAGTATACAATTAGTATCCAGCCATACATAGTATACATTATATACAGTATAAATTCAGTATGCAATCACATATAGTATACAATTAGTATCCAATCACACATAGTATACATCATATAGAGTATACAATTAGTATCCAATCATATACAGTATACAGTTAGTATCTAATCATACATAGTATACATCATATAGAGTAAACAATATCCAATCATACATAGTATACATCATATACAGTATACAATTAGTATTCAATCATACATAGTATACATCATATAGAGTATACAATATCCAATCATACATAGTATACATCATATAGAGTATACATCATATAGAGTATACAATTAGTATCCAGTCATGCATAGTATACATTATATACAGTATAAATTCAGTATGCAATCATATATAGTATACAATTAGTATCCAATCATATACAGTTAGTATCCAATCACACATAGTATACATCATATAGAGTATACAATATCCAACCATACATAGTATACATTATATAGAGTAAACAATATCCAATCATACATAGTATACAGTATAAATTCAGTATGCAATCACATATAGTATACAATTAGTATCCAGGCCCTTGTATTACAAAGCTGATGGCGGAAGATCGGGGCAAGGAAGGAGATTGTACAGTGTAGGGCCAGATCTAGAGATTTCTCGCTGGTCGATCAGCCTCTGAGTTCCCCCGGGTGTGCAGAGCACTCACCCCTCTGCAGATCCTTACTGGTCTCCCGCACATAATCGTTCGGATTCCGGCACAGCACCTTCACCTTCATGCTGGTAAACACTGGCGGCACCACGTGTGGCCGGAACCGGGAACTCGGCTCACACAGATTACATCACAGCTAACGCAGCGGCCATCTTTACTCCTGTACTTTGCCCATCTTGCCCTCACCTGTTCAGGTCAGGACAGCTGCTCCAAAGGGAACTAAGGGTGACGTAAGAAGACAGTGTCTTCAGCAGCGCCATGTTTAGGAAGGGCAAGGTGTGAAGCGACTAGCAGGGAGGGCAAAGTGGGCGGGTCTCAGGTTGGAGGTCACAGGGGACTGATGCAACGTGAGTAGCGGACTGCTAGTGTGATCGGCGTACACATGGCCGCCCCGATCGTCCCGGAGACACAGTCCGTCCGCACTGCAAGCTCTGAGATCACCCGCTTCTTCCGACATGTCAAGTACGAAAACCTGGCGGCCGGCCTGAGCGGAGGAGTCATCTCCACCCTGGTGCTGCACCCGCTGGACCTGGTCAAGATCCGATTCGCAGGTAACGAGCGCCGTCCAGAACTGGGTCCCCGACAGATCATCCCAGCACCGATCTGGCCATACACTATACAATTTCCTTTAGATTTACCTTCAACTATGTAGTGCAAGAGCCTAATTAATTGGATACAATTATGGGTTTTGGTTTTGGTAAATCTAATGCAATTTTTGAAAGAAAATTGTATAATCTATGGCCAGCCTAAGGCGGACCATCCACTGTGCAATTGGATTTATATTTCCCATCAACCGAATAGTGCCGGCTAGATGACACTCTCTTGCTGTCAGAGCCGGGTTCGCATTTTTGCACACTTTAAAAAAAATCATCTTAGACCTGAAAATGATGCAAACCCCCCAAACATTAGGTCGTTTCTGAAATCCGAGACCCCGGAGAATAAAATGGAGGATGTTTCCATTTTTTTATATCGCATGAAAAGACTGAAACGGTTTAGGAAATTCACATTTTCAGTAGAAGAATACACTAAGACCCCCAGCAAATCACATGTCAAGTCGCACCCTGTTGTCTGCAATTACAGCGGTCATTTCGGTGCGGTTCTGGCTTGGTTGGATCTGCATCGACTTCTAAGGTGGTACATGTACTACTTTTAGTGTGATTGGCATAGACTTCTGTGTCATAGCTTACAAATCGTACCTCACGGAATGATATCCGACTTTGATATCACGTGACTTCATTGTAAGTCGCACTATTTCAAAGTTGGGGATTGGTGTGACCGAGGTGTATGGGTAGGTTCACACCTATGCAGGTTGTGTTTGATCCGTTTCTGCAGTGATTCTTGTGGTACATTTTGCGTTTTTGCACTTGTGCTTTTTGATGCATTTTGCTTTTTTTTCTTGTTCCTAGGCAGATTAAAACGCAGCACTACATGCTTTTCTGCAGCGTCTCCATTGAAGTCTATAGAACCAAAAACGCAACATTTTGCATTTAAAAAAAGTCCCTGACCCTTTCCATGAGTCCCATAGGAACTCATGTTAAATGGACTTTGCTGCATTTCTGCAAAACACTGCGGAAAATGCTTAGGTGTGAACCTAGACTAAGGCTCCATGCACACTAGCATTTTTGTCTTTTTTGCTCCTCGAAGCTAAGTCGTGTCCTCCTATGTGTCCGTACACACTGGTTTAGGTTAGTAGTGTTTTTTTCAAGCTTCAGCTTTTAGGAGCAGAAAAAAAATTGTTTCTGTTGAGTTTTTTTGGAGCGTTTTTTCCAGCAGAAAAAAAATGCTATAAGCAACTAACACCTTTTTTTGTAGCTTTTGTTTTTCCCTACTTGTATTGTAAAAATGCTACTAAAAATGCTGTTACCAGCGAATTTGTTTTTTTTTTTTTTTTTTTTTTTTTTAAGCTTAAAAAAAAACTTGTGCATGGAGCCTTAAAATCGTTTTTAAACCCTCTCATATGCCCAGTGAAGTGACTGGCCTCAGGTGATACATAGAGATGAAACAAATCCTCCTACATACGTTGTACCTGTTTATCTGTAGTCTTCTTCATCTGTTCAATGTGCAGAATTTATAAAGCATGTCTGAGCTGTCAGAAAAAAAGGGCTGAGAGCTGAAGTTACACTCTGTAGAACTCAGGAGAGTTGATTGGAGAGAAGGGACACGCCCCCTCCTCACAGGAACAGATCTGAGGCTGTCAATCTGCAGGAGATCCCTCCACTGTCACCTTTTTTCTCTTGGTGTCAGGAAAACTTGTCAGAAGTGATTCATTATGATAGCAGAAGAACGAAGCAGACAGAAATTACACTTAGTGTTCCTAATAGAGACAAACGCACACTATAGAGGGATATGCTTTGTTCATATTTCACGTCTGAGGTTTACAACCACTTTAAGCCCTGGTGCACACTAATGCGGGGCGGCACATCGCATGTGATTGGTCTAGGAACCGTACCGCATTCCTGTGCATATCACATGCAATGTCTGCGTGGGGCGATTTGAGCCATAAATTTTGTATGGCTCCAATCTTATATCCTCCTCAAAAACGGCGTCCATGCGATCTGGTGCTGGTGTCAATGTTAAATTAACAACACCCCAAAACAGATTGCAAAACGCAGTGCGATTACTAGAATTCGCATCACATGGTGTGAACATCCATGGGATGCGAATCGGGTGCAGGGAAAAAAAAAAAAGGTCCTGCACCATGCGATGCGAATTCTGGTGATCGCAGTTCATTTTGTGATTTGTTTCAGGGCGTACCGGATCATATGGAGCCGTGTTGATTGCAGTGCGGGAAACGCACAGGATTCACTGAGTTTCCCACACTGCATTAGTGTGAACCAGGGCTAAAGACGATCTTCACCCCCCCCTGTCGCGCTTTGACAATTGCACGGTCATGCAACACTGTACCTATATGACATTTTTAGCCTTTTTTTTTTTTTTTTTTAGACAGTGTTTTTTTTGCTGGTATTTAATCACCACTGGGTTTTTATAATTTTTTTTATTAACAAATGAAAAAAACACTGAACATTTTGAAAAAAAAAAACACTTTTTGTTCATTTTCTGTTAAAAAGTTTTTGCAAATCAGTAACTTTCTGCATTTCACTGATTAGCACTGATGAGGCTGCACTGATGGACACTGATAAGCTGAACTGATGGAAACTTATGTGCATTGATGATCAGGCGCTGGTGGGCACTGCTGGGCTGCGCTGGTGGGCACTGCTGGGCTGTGTCGTTGGGCATTGATGATGAGGCACTGATGGGCATTGATGATGAGGCACTGATAATCAGGGCACTGATGACCTTCCCTTGCTTTATTCAAAATGGAAAACAAAAAAGTTTTGCCTAAAGTTCTACTTTAACTTGTTGCCTCCCATGTAATGCATATGTCTATCAGCAAAGAGGGTGGGCTTTACCGCCCCCCACACCCCATCTATGCGCCCCTGGAGGAAGGTGCTTCTGTGCTGAGAACGTGTTCCCTGAGTGCACCTGGGAGAGTGACCGAGCTGTCAAAGTCCACTTCCAGTTTCTAGTAACGATGGGGAGCCGACAGCATTAATTTTGATTGATCATGTGACCACTGTGACAGCCAATAGCAGAGGCCACGTGATCAAGCTGATCAACCCCCCCAACATTATTGGGTCACTGGGGCTGGGTGGGTACGGGTTACAGGAGAATCAGATTGCATACTGCATAGCCAGTCTTTAACCCCTTGCCTACAGGGCACTTATACCCCCTTCCTGCCCAGGCCAATTTTCAGCTTTCAGCGCTGTCACACTTTGAATGACAATTGCGCGGTTATGCAACACTGTACCCATATGACATATTTATAATTTTTTTGTGACAGATAGAGCTTTATTTTGGTGGTATTTAATCACCTATGGGTTTTTTATTTTTTGCTAAATAAACCAAAAACAAGATTTTTTCTAAGTTCCTCTTATAAAATTTTGTAAAGTGATTTTTCTCTTTCACTGATGTGTGCTAATGAGGCTGCAGTAACCAATTACCGTGCTGTGTGCCCCCGGGGGTGCGCACGCATGGTTAGTGTGGGAGGACGTCGTATGAACAAGAGAACAGCCTTGCGCCCAACATTTCCTTATATGGTGGGCGGGAGGCGGTTAAGGAGATTGTACAATCTGATTGTATAGTGTATGGTCACCTTTACGCAATGGGTATTATGTATCGCAGGACTGCTGACCCCCCCCATAGAAATACCTTTATAGCTTGTCCTGTGAGTGGTAGCTGTCACATCATTCTACATAATTTCCTACATACAGCTGCGAGAGGTAATACTCAGTTTTTACACCTTTATGGGGTGTAGATGATGTTTATGGATATTGCAATAGAAGAATAGAAGGGGAATTTAGATGGCTTGCTGTGGACCGTACAGCCTAAGTGACCCCACATATACCTGTACAATGATGGGACACTATGGATTGCTGTATATACAGTGAGACCACCCAGGTTTAGTAGCGGTGAGCCGTCTGTGATCTGAATACTTCGACTGCAAAGCCTGCATATTCTGGGCATGATTAAACATTACCCTGAGCGTTCCTGCGTCATGTAATCAGTGAGCAGTGACAGCTGGCCGTCCCCACAGTCCATGCAGGATCATAAGGAAGCTACGTTGGACAAGACTCCTCTGAATTCACAGAAACAGGTATTCACTTTGGGGTCAATTCACGAAAGGATTTCACACGTGATATGAAGGTCACATGACCCCATTTTCAGAAATATTGCATGAGATAAGGGTCAATTCCTTAAAGTAAAATATCGATTGTGGGGTAAATACCGCCGAAAAAAGAAGAGATAAATCATTAACCAGTTGCTGACCGCTCATTCCCTACAGCACAAGTTAGTTAGCAGGTCCTGGTCAATGATTTATGGCCCGGACCTGCTGTTTGGCTTTGTGAATGGCAGTACGGAGCCCTGTGTATACTAATAACACACAGCACACACTGTACACAGAACAGACATGTGACTGCAAGAAAAAAACTCTTGCATCTAAAAGCAGCACACATTACACATTAAGCACACAGTTAACCCCTTGATCACCCCTAGATGTTAAATCCTTCCCAGCCTGTGGCATTAGTACAGTGACAGTGTATATTAGTAGCACTGATCACTGTATTAGTGTCACTATTGATGTCAATGTCGCTTAGTGCCAGATTGCCTGCCGCACTATCACAGTCCTGCTATAAGTCGCTGATCACTGCCATTACTAGTATTAAAAAAAAAAAATTCCAGTATTTATAACATAGTTTTTAGATGCTATAACTTTCACACAAACCAGTCAATATACAGTTGTGCTCAAAAGATGTCCAAGGCCTTGAATATGCCAATCAGTACTGTTAAATCACGTATTAAGAAGTGGAACGTTCGGGGATCTCTTAATACCAAGCCAAGGTCAGGTAGACCAAGAAAGATTGCAGCCATAACTGACAGAAGAATTGTCCGGGATTCAAAGAAAAACCCACAGGCAACCTCAAAAGAAATACAGGCTGCTCTGGAAAAAGATGGTGTGGTTGTTTTTTTAAAGAGTACAATACGGTGATAC